CGTTGCTTATCAAGAGAGAGCGTGGGTGGACCAGAACCTTCTCCTCAACTGGCTGGATTGGTACTTCCCTGAAGTAGCCAAAACGACTGGGCAGTATGTCATCTGGGACTCGATGCGGGCTCATATCGCCAAGGAGGTCAAGCAGCGTTGCGACGAGAAGGAGATCGACATGGTCGTGATTCCAGGAGGTTTGACGCCCTACCTCCAGGCGGGAGATGTTGGGATCTACAAGTCCTTTAAGGACAACCTGTGCAAGATCATCAATGAGTGGAAGCACTCGGACCAGGTTCGCTACACTAGAGGGGGGAACACTCGTCCGCCTGAGGTCGAGTTGGTCGCAGCATGGGTAATGAAAGCGTGGTGACAGACGCCAGACTCTGTCGTCGCGAAAAGCGTTTTGATCTGTGGTTTTAGCGATGACCCTACTTCGTGGCACATTGCACGTCACGACGTGTACGGGACCAAGTTTCGAATGGCTTGGGAACTCCGTAGCCACGACGGTGCCGAAGATGACAGCGGAAGCTTTGACGACTGTGAAAGCTACGAGCACATCATGGAGACGCTGGACGACATCGTCATTGAGGATTAAACTGAAGCAAAAGATATGTTAGCGAGCTTGCAGCTAGGTTAATGACAATGCAGAAGGAGACTTACCATTTTAGCACGGAGAATTAACGTATTCGATGGGAATCGAACCCGCGACAACCCTGCTCCCACTTGGGGCCCTCAATAAACCCAAGTGTCTTAACCACATGAGCTGTCAGTACTGATGTTGGAATAGAGTGCGCATAAAATAGAGTGCGCAATTTCGATCTTACCGCACTCTAAAAAAATAGAGTCCCGCACTCTAATACGTATTATACGTTATTTAACCTCGATAGTTACAGTGCGCGCCAAATCATTAGGACCGTCCTTTTTCGTGCACGGTTCCGTTGATTGCGGCGCCTGTAGGACGACTTGGGAGCCGCTATTTAGATATAGCGTTTGTATTGTGATTATCTAGCCGCTACATGTGCTAACGACCGCGAACTCGGCCTGCTTCACCACGCTAGCATACAAATTGACTAGATCCGCAGCAGCGTCAACACTTAGAACCACCCCCTTTTTCTGTCAAATCGAACATTGTTTATGAGCTTCCATACAAACTTATATATTAAAAAAATCGAACTTACACTGACATGACGAATGGAGGAATGGTGCGACCAGCGCGCTGGCGGCTTCCGCTGGAGCTCCTAGCTTTTCATTTTCTAATGGGCCGCGGATCAGCCCTCACTAACCAAGAATATTGGTGGGTTATTGGTTTGCACGACGGTGGAGTCTCGCTATGTGAGATTTCACGCAGAACCGGCCACTCAAGAACGGCTGCTAGTGTCGCGATCAAGGCGGAGAGGATCCCGCAGAGCGGCGACAGCAGAGAGAAGCCAAGGGCAGGACGCCAACCTGCTCTCACCGACTGAGAAGTTCGGCAGATCGTGCGAGCGGCTTCGACGGGCAAGTTCTTTGCCGCGGACCTCAAGGCCCAGTTCGGTGTCAAGGCTTCCGTGCGGACTATCCAGCGGCTGCTCAAGAACGTAGACCATCTCAACTACACGAAGATGGACAGGACGCTACCGCTAACACCGGCCCACAAGGCTGCGCGATTGGAGTGGGCTGAAAAGCACATTCTTAACCCTGGTAAGTTTGTTTACAGTGGTTATAATGATTAATTGCTAACATTATCGTAATATGTGTAGGAACATGGGAATATACTATTTTTCTGATGAAAAAAGTTTAATCTCGATGGACCTGACGGCTACAAGTACTATTGGCGTGACTTGCGACAGCCAGCGCAGTCTTACGTACGCCGCCAGAACGGTGGCGGCAGCGTAATGGTGTGGGGCGCTTTTGGGGCGAAGGGCAAGAGCCAGCTGGCCATTTTGCGAGGCCGGCAAAACTCAGGTGACTACATCTACACTGTCTCAGAGTATTTGTTGCCATTTGCTCATGCTAACTATGGTGTCGACTTTGTTTTCCAGCAAGATAATGCGTCTATTCATGCTTCTCGTGAAACGACGCATTTCTTGCAGGAAATGCAAGTCGACACCATGGTCTGGCCGGCTCGCTCGCCCGATTGTAACCCAATCGAGAACGTGTGGTCGGCAATGGCGGCACGGGTTTACGCCCATGGCCGCCAGTATCGCATGGTAGAGCAACTGGAGGACGCCATTGTACACGCTTGGGGCTCCATCGAGCAAGAGTATTTGGACAAACTCGTGGAGTCCATGCCTCGTCGTTGCCTTGCTGTCATCAAGGGCAAGGGAGCTCTCACTAAGTACTAACTTTTAATATA